AATGCTCAAGCGAATTTTGGCTGGTTCCTGTGCAGAAAATCGAAAAATAGCAGAGGAAAGCCTTAGAGCTGTGGAACAATGCTATCTAACTATTACACAAATGACATCGAGAATAACTGGTAATGGATCCCGATAAATGAGATTAGGGGAAAGTGGGGTAAGACGGTCAGTGTAGGTAAGACAGGCACCCTTTCTGCAGACCAAACCAATAGCGCTACGAGCGAGAAAAATTCGGACCAGAATTGCCTTTCTTACTACACACCACCATTGAAGCCTGGTGAATTTGTGTTCAGTCGATAATCTTTTATTTTAATTTCTTTAAAACACTCATTTCATTGAAAACATCCATATAATGTATTGTGCAAGCTTTTGTGTGCAGCACTATAGAGTTAAAAACTCGCAATCACTTGTGGTACACTCATATGCCACCAGTGTTCATTTACCGCGGCTTTGCTTCGTCTCCATCAAATTGTCCACAGAGAAAATCGTGCTGAACTTCTGACATTGAGTTTGGGGTAAGAAGGGCAACTATGAATCCAATGGGTCTGTAATGGTGAAAAAAAATTGTTGCTGTAGGAAAAAAGAAGCATTTCTAATAAGAATAAGCTCGATTCCGATACTCACAGACATGTTAGCAATATTCCTTCGGCACAGTTTATTCTCGAATAATGAATGTGAAAAACGGTTCTACATGGCTTCTGAACTAGGGCCTATATACGAGCATACGCCTTCTGCACGAATCTGCCATATCCGAAGCACTTGAGACCAACGAGCGACTGTATCAATGCGGCTAATCTCGGGCATTTGTTGCGAGCTGTGCTGGTCGGTGAAAGAAGCTGGCCGTCTTGCCCTACCTATGTGGCCGTCTTACCCCATAGGGTGGGGTAAGACGGGTTTTTGCAAGGTTTTGCAAAAATAGCTGCAGTTTATTTGTTGAATCAGGCCTAAGTCTCATCTTCTGGCAAATGGAAGTAAAATGTCTAGAAAAGGTTTTCACTCAGTTTCCCGTTTCTATGATGTTTATAACAGGCCGAAAAATTGCTCCAAAGTTAAGGTGCCCGTCTTAACCCACTTTCCCCTATGTGCACTAGGCAGCCCTTGGGGCCAGTTTAGGCTACGTTCTGGACTCTGGTGAAGGTCAGTCAGGGCATATTTTAACAAATTTTTACTGCGTCCCAAAGTTGAGCAGAGGGCACGTGCTACGACTAAGGGCACAGGGCAAGGAACAGAGTAGGGCACTGAGGAGGGCAGAAAGTAGGGCGCGGCAGGTTGCGGGTCATGGCACAGGACATTTTAGAGGGAACGCCGGGTACAGGTCAGGGCAGACAGCAGGGCACAGGTCAGGGAACCGGACAGGGCAGGGACGCAGTGGGCCAAATTAGCAGGGGCTACGTCCCAAGGCGAGGGGGCTGCGTCCCAAAATGGGACGCAGTAAGTGCCTTAAAATATGCCCTGAGGTCAGTTCAAATTTCAAAGTGGATATTTTTGCATAAAATGGGTATCGATTCGATGCAGCTCGTCGCGGGGAGTAGGTATAATGGTGGTCTTTGTTTTGCGCTACGTTGTCTAGAATTCCTAAAAAAATGAGGTTGAAAATTTGACGTCATCAATTTTGAAGTGTTTTCGCCATAACTGGCCAAAAAAAGAGGTATCAATCAAATTTGACATGTGGATAGAAGTTGGGATAGGCTATCTTATATATTCCGGTTTTTGAAATTTCAAAAAATTGGATTTTTGGCTATTAAAATCAAAAAATTACTTTTTTATTTTTGGGGGTCAAAATCCAATTATTTTAAAAATCCGAGATAGCAGTTTTGTAATCCTGTTAATTCTACACCTTTCACTGTTAGGTTTAACACGCGCAGTGGAAGGGGGGGCGGATTTCGCCCACCCCTCCTGTTTTTCGCCAATAACTCGCGCCGCAAGCATAATATCAATGTGAAATTTCGGCTACCTGTCCAGAATTGAACTGCGGATCTTCTCGTGCAAGAAGTAAGAAAATCGGTTCACAACTTTTCTAGTAATAGCGGTGTAAAGTCAAACATCCTGCCGCCGCGGCGGCGCGGCGGCGCGGCGGCCGGCGCTAGCCGTTACGCGCCGCCTGAATTGTAGACTGTGCCGGGGCGGGACGGTTCCGTCTTTACATCGCGCTCCTTACCGCTGATTATATTAGATTCGCGTCAAATTCGGTGAGAAGACTGAGAAATGTACAGGCAATCATATGGTCAAAGAATTTTGAAAATCGGCCGGTAACAACTTGAGTTATGAGTGTGTAAACACAAAATTGTGATTGCCGCGTTTCCCGCGTCGGCCGATGCCGCTTCAGCCGGCGACATCTTACCCTTCGCAGGCTTCTAACTGCCATATTTATTGTTGGATTATCTAGAAATTCACCATACATACTCACAAATGTTTGTTCTTTCGTATAGTGAAAGATTTAAAAAAATCGGCCGGTAACTTTTTGAGTTATCGGCGTGTAAACGCAAAAAAGTCGCTAATATGGCAAATTTGACCACATTTGACCTCATTTGACCTTGAAGATATTGACCTAGGGTCATGAAATTCACAAACAACAGAGTTCCCCATGGCCCCCACCTACCCTCCAAATTTCGTCTTTCTAGCTCCAGTGGGAGCTGAGATCTTAGGGGGGGGCGACATCCGCCCCCCCCCCCCCTTCCACTGGGCGTAGTACTCGCAACCCTTCCACTGCGCGTGTTAACATTTTCTGTGTCTTTGAAGTTGTAGGCCTAACAGCTCTTCCCGTGAAACCTTTTTTGGTCGAAAATGGCAGAACATGACGTCATTCTGACGTCATTTGCGGCCAACCTATCATGGCCTCTGGAAAAATGATCACAATATGTAGAATTGATGTCCGGAGGGGTCCTGAAAGTTTGGTGACGATATCTGCAGTCGTTGAGATCTCGACAACGGCTACGCCGATTGCGCTCAAATTTGGTGCATCGCTAGGGACAGGTTAGGGGGGGGGGGGGGGGCAATGCACAAGTTATTTGGAGGTACACTCGGGGGCAGATTAATGTTCCACCTCTCCTTGTCCTTACCCATCGGGCTCCCATGGCTCAGCACTGGCTGCTGCCAGTGTTGCCTGCCCTCAGCACTGCTCAGCACTGCCTGCCAATGCCAGTGCTGCCAGTGCTGCCACTGGCAGCAGCCAGTGCTGAGCCATGGGAGCCCGATGGGTAGGGAGTGGTGGAACATCAATCTGCCCCCGAGTGTACCCCCTCGCAATTTAGGACGTGTAAGGCCCACCCTCTCGTTCGCTCCGTTGGTCGCCCCAAAAGACATTATACTGGTGTAAGGCTTCTTATGTGGTCACACACCGCTATTCCCAGTTGTGCGTCACCTGGGGCGTTCCACGACAAATCGACAAATAAAAAATTAAATTTGCACCCTCATATTTTATTTTTCGTTGAAAACTGGTGTAAGGGGTTGTGATGGGCTGGGAAGCCAGCTGAGGCGAGGATTTTTTTCTTCGAACAACGGTTTCCGAGATATAGCCTCGGGCAATTTCCTCAAGGAGCGTCATTACCTATCTGTACAGGGCGCGGTGATAGGCAATCTTTTGTGATCGAACCGGCTGATTGCGGCATAACATATTTACTGGTGTGTGTGTGTGTGTGTACATGTGCTAATGTTTGTGCGAATCAAAACTACTTCCATTATCCATTGAGCCATCTGACGTGCGAGTATGAAAAGCCCCAGTGTACTGTGGATTATTCGTGAATACACATCTGTATCTGTATCTGTATCTGGAGGTCACGCTGCAGCCCTATGTTTGGCGGCCTATAACTCAGAAACTATTGGTTTTCTACGATAAAAACTTTATATGGTTTAACTCACAATCAGCCAACAAACATTTTGGCTATCTCGGATTTTCAATTTTTGAAAATTTTGATCACGTGACCTTTTGACCTATTTTTCGAAGAGTGACCTTGATATTTTCCCCACTGAAAGTTGCAATTTTGTCTGATGACGATTAAAGCCTTGTCAATTGTCATTCATATGCGAAGATAAAAAAGTGGCTATCGCCCTGCGTTGAGCTCAGGTCAGGTCATTTTTATGACGTGTCCATTATTACGAGCGGGAGCGACAGCGAGATCTCGAGAATAAAGCAAGATAGCGACAAGCGGTAAACGTTGCAGGGTACACACGGATAGGTTCTATAATTTTTACTGAGGTCATTTTCAGGTCAGGTCAAAGATGACGTCACAGGAGCAAAAAGGAAGTCAAATTGCGGCACTACATATATATGAAGTTTTTCTCGAACAACTTTCAAGGTATCCCAGCTAGGAACAAACTAATAGCACCATCGTGATCCTCTCGTCGATCCGCATCGAAACATATGTATGTTGACCTCGAAAGGTAGAAAGGTCAAAAGTTGACCTTAGGTCACGTGACCTGAAAGCCAAAAATATGATAGTTGGAAGACTAATTATGATATGATAGATTATGATAGGTGAAAGACGCTAGTCTTCCATCTATACCTACCAAATTTGAGATCGATGCCTCCTTTTGGCCAGGCTATAGCGAAAAACTGTTCAAAATTGGTGACGTCAATTTTTCAAACTCAATTTCTAGCAACTCTAGACAACGTAGCGCCAAACAAAGACCACCATTAGACTCCTCATGACGAGCTGCATCGAATCGATACCGATTTTATGCAAAATATCAACTTTGAAATTGGACCTATAGCCTAGCCTGACCTGACTTTCACTAGAACGTAACTTGAAGGTTACCTAACCCACATAATCGTATTTGTTATGGAAAGTGTACCATAGAACACGTATCAAACGGCACTTTCATATTGTGACCCTCAGTGACCTGACCCTTGTGATCCGACATGGTAACAGTGACCTCAAATAGCAAAATATGTGCTTGGCAAAAAATTCACCCACTCCCGGTGTGTGTGTTACCCAGCGCCGTCCCCACTCCCGGGGTGTGTGTATGTTTGTGTGTGTGACCGAGCGCCGTGTCGCGGACAGGACCCGCGGCCAGGGCGAGTCCAAGTGCCGCCTGACGGCCGACGAGCTGACGCTGTTCCACGCGCACATCTGCCAGCTGGCCTGCCGGGTGCCCGAGCAGGACGAGCTGCGCCGTCTGCTAGACCAGGTGAGAGCAGCGGCCACATGCAAGGCCGTCACATACAAGAACACACCACACACCTCACACACCCATGTACGCACGCAGGTCAGGTCAAAGGTTAGGTCGCCAGAGGTGATCGAAAGTAAAAGTTTGCCAAAATACACTTTTTTGCAGAACGTTTTTCTGCAATAACTTTTGACTCTGCAAAACTTGCACGAGCTTACTTATGCCAGCATCGTGTTCCTCTCGTCGAGATACATCGAATGAACTAGGTACAGTTTGACCTTGATAGGTAAACATGATTTTTTTGGGGGGGAATATTTGTTTCTGGTCCCTAAAAAGCTGTTTCTGGCACCTAATTGCTGATCAGCCCCAAAATGCTTATTCGACCCTAATATCTGAATCTGGCACCTAATTGCTTCCACACAGCCTAAAGTTGCCAGATCGTCTAGTTGAACTCCGTATTTGCTGTTTGCTGATTCAGCACCAAAACCAAAACATCCAGCACCTATTTTATTCCACGTTTGCCTACCTAATTCGCGTAATCTTCCTGATTTTATGTATCCTAACAAACATGAACGTTGCATTCGGTGATGTCAAGTGCCATTTTCGCCAGTGGAGATAATGATTAATGCCATTTCTAGCCAAAAGAGAATCACTAGCCAGCTATGGTGCAGCATAGCAAGACGCTCCTATACCAGCCCGCTATGTAGAGATTATTGCACCCTCAGCCATTTTAACGTGAAAAGTTTGGATCCGTCACTTCCAGCCAGGCTCTCCGGTCATAAACTGGAGTAAAGCAAAATGTCAACTCTGAACAGACATGCCACGCAACCGGCCCTCTTTTCAATATTATTAGCTTTCTGCAATCATCGTCTGACTCCATCTCGATCAAACGCAGCATCCGGTTTCTGCAGGGGCGTTTGACTGACCGGCCACACAATAACCAAAAACAAAATCAAAGCTTCATGCGCACATAAGTAAGAAACGGATGAAAAAGGCACAACCACGGCACAACTCTGCGCGGCGAACAACGGACAATGCTCGGGGGTTACATGAGCAGAGTTAATACGCATTACAAACGGACTACAATGGTGAGCGAATAGGAAAATCCGTTCCCGATACTCATTTACTCGCTCATGTAACCCCGGTAAATGTCCCACGCAAGATTCCGCGTTTCTTCAGCGGCCTTGAACGGAATGAAAACATTACATTTCTTTTTTGGAGCTTAAAATGACGTCAAAAAATACAATACCCGTTTTAATGGTCAAAATTGAGACAATTACTCACAAAAATGTTTCCCTTAAAGCATTACAAATAAATACTTTTAAATATTTAAATGACATTGCTTTTTCAAACAAATCAATATTATTTGCTTACTTAAACGTCATATACAATGCTGAGATCACTACGGGGCTGTCTTAGAGTGTAGCTGCACTGGCAACCTTTAGGCTAGACTCCAGGGGTCATTATACCAGAACAACATGATTCTACCAGCCAGTAGTTCATTTTTCTACTAGATTGGTGCTACGCTCAGCATTTAGGTGCCAGATTCAGAAAAAAGAGTAAGGCGTACCGATGAATAGGTGCCAGAAACAGCTAATTAAGGTCATTTTCCATGATTGGTGCTGGTATCCACCAAATAGGTGCTGAGGACCAATTTTGGGGCGAGTCAGCTTTTAGGTGCCAGAAATAGCTTTTCTGGGACGCAATTAAATGGCGTCCATTTTTTTTGTGTTAGGCCCTTTCGGCCTAACGAGACCATTTCAGAGCCGGAATGATTATAGGAGTTAGGAGGTGGCACTGGTCTGGGCAGGCACTCAAGCGAAGCGCCGGGGCTGATGAGCCAGTCCGATTCCGAATGGACAGGCCGACCAGCCCCCCCCCCCCCCAGCACTCCCTGCACCCGACTACAGGTGTGCTTCCTTGGCGGTGCGCCTCCAAGGGAGCAGCCCGTATGAGATAAAGGTGTCTGTCCAGCCCGGACCGAGCGTTGCGGCGTGGAGGAGAAGGATTTGAACATCCTGAGGATGGAAACGACGGATGTTGAACATGAAAGTTTGACCTCAGGCCAAGGTCATGACCTGACCGGAACAGGTCGTGTTGAATGTCAGTCGATCGGTATCGTCGAGCTTAACACATCTAAGGTATCTTTATCGGTCTAGGATGCCTATATTATCAAAAGTTATTAGCGAAAATTGTAGCATACCTTTTACGCTCTGAGATGACCTCAGGGACACAAGGAGCGGTCACTGGTGCCATTATCCGGTTCAGTGTGTTATGTTTACTTGTAACTCGGTGTTTGAGTGTTTAGAATGACGTTCATCCAAAAAGGCGCCTTTGATTTTCTCCCATTGGCTTATCATTGAGAGGTCGCAAGATTTATACCTGACGTTAGGCCACCGATACCAAAATTATGTGATATACCGTAGTTTCGTGCAACGTTGGCCACCAAGGGCAACTTTGGCGCACGCCTGGAAAAATAATTTGTTTTGCTGTAGCTTTTTACACTTATGGGAGACCCGGGAGGTATGACCCCCCTGGAGGTATGGGCCATCGCAGTTTTGAAGAAGTGTTGCGTATTTTTACACATTTGACCGCGTAAACTGGTAGCAGCCATTCCGTTATACAACCCACGTGATTTCCAATATCTTCCTCAGTCTTCTTTGGCAATGAGCGGTGATAAAGCGTTTTTGCCCTCTTCGAGTAAAATATGGTACATACAGAAGATTTGTGATAAATTTGAAACAGGCTGTCTATGATGTCAGAGCATCGCTAACATAAAGTTTAACCCTCGCCCGGGTAGGGGGGGGTCGAACGGACCCCCCCCATGGTTTTTCGCGAATAACTCGCGTAAAAAGCGGCAGATCGCAACGAAACTTTCAGTACCCTCGCGTTCATCAATTTCACACCTACCCTGAAAATTTCATGACCCTGACCCAAATGACCTTTGACCTGTGACCTACTTTTCGAGACCATGTTTGGCTGGAATCGCGATTCGGCGTATGTCGGCTCGCATTAGCCGCGCGTTTGCAGTCTTTTCGTGGTTTCAAGCGTTCAAACATGTGATATGATGTTGCCCCCATGCATTAGGGTGGGTGTCAAGGTCACCTGAAGGTCAGGTCAGGTCATTGACCTTTGATGACCTCGGTTCACTTTTCCGAGTTTTACATGTTTCTAGGCCAGTTTTTGGAGCTGAATTCGAATTTAGCAACTATTTGAAAATTTACGAAGTAGTTTTGGTGCCTTCGTAACATGTTACGAAGCTGTCAGAGGCGGTTGCCACCTACTACGAATACCCTTACTGGTTGACCTGACCTGACCTGACCCGACCTGGCCTAAATACATGAAGACATCATCTGTGATCAAAACTAACATGATATTCGTGATCAGCACCCCGAAAAACCCCATAGCAGCCACACTTTACGACGTTCTAACAGGTCCCGATTTTCCCGCCTTTGGGGTCATTGACCTGACCTGCAAGGTCAACCAATGACCTAGGACCTTAAAATTGGGTATCATCGGCTTCCTCTCGTCACGGGCAACACGCTCGTTTTTTTCCGCGAAGCTCTAGCTCGATCAGGGGCGAAACGGCAAGGGGGGGGGGTCCAACGGACCCCCCCCCCCCTTATACGTTCGCGGCTGGAAAAACACCAATACGGGCGAGGGTTAAAGTACACAAACGACAAAACAGTGCAATTCAAATCTTTATATCTATATTTCGCAGACGTTTCAACGACAAGGCCACCATATTCGATAGCATATTCGATATGCTATTGAATATGCTAATTAATTAAACATATGTACTAAGTTTCATTTCATTTGCACTGACATTTCATTTGACATTTGACATTTGACATTTCATTTGCCTTGTCGTTGAAACGTCTGCGAAATATAGATATAAAGATTTGAATTGCACTGTTTTGTCGTTTGTGTACTTGAAACAATGTCTTCTTACCAACATAAAGTTTAAAACATGCAAATTAAGACTGGATAGACAATTTGAAGCTTTCTTGGAAGATTATGAGCTGAGATGCTACGCACATTCTGGCGTCCTAACCCCGAGGTTCGGGCCACCCAGGGTATATAGAACAACGGGTACACCAACGACGCGGAAAGCGCCCATTTTACCGGGATGAGTTACATGGAAGGTGATATATTTTTTGAATATGGAAAAAATAGAGTATTCCATTCTGACGAGTAAAGCCAAATTTATAAAGCAGTTATTTTTAAAATATATGTACCAGAAATAGCATACTAACCATAGTTTAAAACTTAGTCTAAAGTTAGTTGAAAAGTGTATAGTTGATACTAAGATGGAAGGCATCAATGGAAGGCAGAAATGGCGCAGCTGTCTCATTCTTAAAATGTGTTCGCCAGCAGGATAGCAGGAGTTACGTGATGCTAGCGACATCTATTTATGAAATTGGGGACGCTGATTGGCTGATCGAGTCCGTGAGCAGTATCGCTACTTTACGCTAGTACAGAGTTGAGGCAATGTGCGCATGCGCAGGAACTTGTGCTCTCATGGAGGGGCTTTTGGTACGTCGGGCAGCGCCCAATGCTTTTTGGACCAGGCCCATGTCACTCCACTTTTGATGACATCATATGGGGGCCTCAGGACAATAATGGCGCGGCGCGCCACAATCGCTTCAAAGCTACTTGCCAACAGTTGCCATTTTTGAAAATATTATTTTGAAATAAAGTTCCAAGTAATAAAAAATATTGTAATAAAGTTGTTGAATAAATCGATACCATATCTAACAACTTACTGAAAAATGATTTATTCATAGTAAAAATATAAGCTCGATGCGTTTTTACGTTGCTTTCCTTCAACTGCAGAGGGTTTTTAAATCGTCTATATCTTCAAAACCGGCCATTTCTTAGCATATTGCTGCTCTTTTTTATCGCTAGAAAATTAGTTGGACTTTCCAATGACATCAATGGTTGAACGATATGTGTAGAATGTCACCAACAATCTTTAAATGAAGTTAGTCATTTTTACGTTGTAAAGGAATGGAGTACCCCTATCGAGCATCAGGGGTGACGTCACTCAGGATCTCTATCTGATTGGTCGGCGGGAGAGTGACTGTACCTTCTATAGATGGCCTTGTTTTGGACCTGTTATGGCCTCCACATCGAAAAACGGTAGATAAAAAGGTTGTAGAGGAAGCTTGAGGCTACCTTTCCCCACAATAATATTGGCACTTTTTCCTTTGGCTCACGTGTGGGGCTCGCTTGAAAAAGGTCCATTTAACATGGAAACCCTATGGGGTAGTAGTTTTTGAGCGCCCATTTGGCCTAATGCTACCAACTGTTACTGGCTACCCCTGGGGCCACCCACCCCCGTTGATCCTAAATCAATAAACTTAACTGATTGAATGTCCTCTTCAATAAGTTTTAGTTTTGTCGCGCAAGGTCGAAAATTTAACGACAAATTTCATTCGAACAGAAAATAAAGTATCATTATCTTACTTCATGGAGCATGATTGAGTTTACCAAAATACATATGTGCCCAAGTGACCTCCATGAAGTATGTTGTTGGCCGCTTATGTGGTTCCTGGGCTCTAAGAGAGATCAACGTAGATACCAGCTGCGAGTATTGTTTTGATTGTCGAGAAAAGAATGTGAAACATGGCACCGGCCCATACCTCCCGGGCCATTGCCCATACCTCCTGGTGTATTTTGATGGATGAAAAAAGCGCATGATTTATTGAAAGTTATCTCGAGACAAAATAGTTGATCCCAGATGCCTTATATCAGGCACACTTTGCAGGCGAAAGGCAATTTCACGTACACAGCACAGAGTGAAAACCGGGGTCTAGCCACTGCCCACTGGAAGAAAATTGCCTTCTCACAAAACTGGCCCATGCCTCCCAGGTCTCCCCTACCTAGTGCAGAAAGTTGTTCTTATGGTTTCGTAAGACTGTTCATCGGTTACCTTTGGGATCAGCCCTGAGTTATTCCTAAGACCAAGTTGAGGGGTTACCACACGCACCGACGGGGGGGGGGGGGGGGCAGATATCCGCCCCCCTGAGGTTTTTCGCGAATAGCGCGCCGCGAAATTTGGTACGACTATTCTCTCATCAATTTTACACATGGTGTGCAAGTTTGAACCTCCTAACTTTTAAGGTCAGGTCATCAGGTCACTTTGAATGTCCCAACTTCAAGTCACTTTTTTGCAACTTTGTCACCATGCCAGAGCTACAGAAGATGTCTGAGGCCTTTGAAAGTCGCAGGATGTTATAAGGTCATTAGTAGCTACAATTTGTATATCTCGGAATTTCGATATCGATGACCTAAGGTCAGGTCAATTTCTCGACCTCCCCATTATAAGTCAATGGGGGAAAAATCAACTCCCTGTTTTTACCACTAAAACGGGTCGGAATAGCCCCATAAACCATACATGACTTCATATACGATCAACCTTCACTACCTTGAGGTCTGTTTTGCTGTTGGGCAGCTGTAAGGTCATATGACGTCATCAAAGGTCACCAAAGGTTTTTTTTTGCCAATAACTCCGTACAGGAACAAGATACAGCCGCGCGGATGGTCTTATTGTGTTCAGCTCGTCAAGACGCATCGAATGATATACATGATGACCTCGAGGTCATGTGACCTGAGGTCAACCTTTGACCTTGACCTTGCGAGGTCAACACACACACACACACACACACACACACACACACACACACACACACACACACACACACACACACATATATATATATATATATATATATATATATATATATATATATATATATATATATATATATATATATATATATATATATATATATATATATATATCATTCGATGCGGATTGACGAGAGTTTTACGATGCTGCCCTTAGTCTTGACTAGTTTGAAAGTTATTCGAGAAACACTTCCATATCTAGCGCCGTCATTTTGACTTTTTTGACCGCTGTGACGTCATCTTTGACCTGACCTGAAAATGACCTGGGTAAAAATTGTAGACCTTGTCCGTGCGTATCCGATGCCGTTTACCGCTTGTCGCTATCTTGCTTCGTTCTCGAGATCTCAGGGGGGGGGGCGGTCATCCGCCCCCCGTCGGTTCTAAGTTGGCGCAGACCCCCGTTAGGTCACGTGACCTAAGGTCAACTTTTGACCTTTCGACCTTTCGAGGTCAACATACATATGTTTCGATGCGGATCGACGAGAGGATCACGATGGTGATATTAGTTTGTTCCTAGCTGGGATACCTTGAAAGTTATTCGAGAAAAACTTCATATATATGTAGTGCCGCAATTTTGGCTTCCTTTTTGCTCTTGTGACGTCATCTTTGACCTAACCTAAAAATGACCTTAGTAAAAATTATAGACCTTATCCATTTGTACCCTGCACGGTTTACCGCTTGTCGCTTTCTTGCTTTATTCTCGAGATCTCGCTGTCGCTCCCGCTCGTAATAATAGACAGGTCATAAAAATGACCTGACCTGAGGTCAACGCAGGGCGATATCCACTTTTTTTATTTTCGCATATGAATGACAATTGATAAGGCTTTAATCGTCATCAGACAAAATTGCAACTTTCAGTGGGGAAAATATCAAGGTCACTCTTCGAAAAATAGGTCAAAAGGTCACGTGATCACAATTTTCAAAAATTGAAAATCCGAGATAGCCAAAATGTTTGTTGGTTGATTGTGAGTTGAACCATATAAAGTTTTTATCGTAGAAAACCAATAGTTTTCGAGTTATAGGCCGCCAAACATAGGGCTGCAGCGCGACATCCAGGAATTGCCCGAGGCTATATCTCGGAAACCGTTGTTCGAAGAAAAAAATCCTTGCCACGGCTGGCATCCCCGCCCATCACAACCCATTAGACCAATTTTAAGCAAAAATAAAATATGAGGGTGCAGGGGACTTGTCGATTTGTCGTGGAACGCCCCACCTGTCTGGTTTCAGCAGTGGCTATTTCGCATACTGTTTTTGTCTCCGCCTAAACCCGCTACCCTATTCTCTCTGTTTTTTTTTTAGTTGCATTTCCTTTCTTAGCAGGGAGTGCTGCGACTTCTTTTTATTTCAGGGTGTTAACGTAAGGTCCTGCTAGTCGCTGGGCTTGAGGGCGGGTCACTCCTGGTCACCTGATCATGGGTGGAGGAGTAATTCGAAAAAAAGTAAAAATAGGGGGACCAGCAGCCGGATGAAGGAGCTGACGTCGGGATGGTCTTATACGAGGTGGCAGCTGGCAGAGATTGTCGGTCTGAGGCGCTGCTGTCTGACCTGTGGCCGCCAGGTGCAGCAGTTCCAGCGGCGTGCCGTGCAGCTGGTGGAGCCCGAGCTGCCGCCCCCGTCGGCCGACATACAGGCGTGCGTCCAGCTCGGCGACGAGCTGGACATCGAGCTACCGGAGACGGCCGAGCTGCGCCAGGTGACGCCCTACAGACCGCAGCCAAGCGAGGAGAGCTCCCTGCGCTCCACGGAAATGTTGGCTGCGTTCGGACGTGTCGTTTTTCGCGTCGAATTTCTACGCGATGGTATTCCTCATGAAAACGGCTGTTTGGGCAAGCCGGCTTCGCGGGATCCCGCGGGATTCCTCGCGTTTCGCGAAATCTCACGCGAAAAAACGGCACGTCCGAACGCATACTTGGTTTGTGCTGATCTCACTTTGGTAAATGTACGGCCCTCCAGGTAGGTATTAAGTGGTTGGTTGCCAACATCACAATAATCGATCTGCATTGATGAATACGCCTAACGGCTGTTGAAAATCACTGCCGAAATGTGTGCACGAACCCTCTTCTCGTTTCTATTGAGTCATTTTACAGGAGTGTCTCTGTCATATAAAGTTATTACACCAAAAGCACATAGGCTAAACAACCACTCCTTTGCTGGAGGGCCGTACCTAAATCAAACGGCGACTTTGCACCATTGGTAGATATGAAAAATGAAATGTCCAATGTTTACGAATAGTTTACACTTTACGAATATGTTTACGAATGTTTATGATGTTTACGAATAAGTAGTTCATGTTATCTATGGAATAGTGAATACAGAAAATGCTGTTTTCTGTGGAAATCGAGGACTGACATCAGTTGTAAGAGACTGACGAAAGAGCTGGTCCGTACCCACAGTCGGTACCCATCCCGTACCCAGTCCGTGGCCAGTCCGTGGCCGTGCCCACCCGGTAGCGCCGCGTGTTGTCATTGTGCTGACTGGGTGTCTGTGTGTGTACGGCGCAGCGGCTCAGCCACGCGCGCTGGATGGAATCGGTGGAGGAGGGTCTGGATGGCCGGCGCCGCCTCTCGCTGGAGGCCGTGGCCGAGCTGGTGCAGACGGGACGCACGCTGCCGCCCTACCACGTGGTGGAGCGCGCACTGGGCGAGCTGCAGGGCCTGCTGCAGACCGGCCAGCGGCACGAGGAGCGCGCCGGCGCCGCGCTGGCCGCCAGGTGCGTACGGCGGCGGACAGCGGCCGCCTGCCAGTAGGCTCATTGGTGTGGTAGAGTTATGACCAGGGATGGGCAGCTATAGTTCTTTCTAAGTTTGACCCTCACTGTAAACATCTTTTTGAACACAGCACGAGAATTGCTACCTGAATTACTGAGAAAACTGGTTAGCGCACATTGTAATGCAGATATCAATAACATAAATCCTAAATAATCCGCCGGACATGTGGGCCACCTTTACACGAAGCTCGTATTACATTTTGGACGTGATGCGGCCGGGGGTGCGCCCTTGGCGCGTGCGAACGTGCGCCATAGGGCTAGCATTGTAAACGGGAAAAAACGCACTATTGCTCGGAAACGGTAACGGTTACGGGGGTGAGATTTTCACGGAAAGTCGGACGCGTGCACTCATTAATTGTCGTATTAAATTCTCGAGGGTGTGGGTTCAGCGGTGTGCACGTGCTGCGGCCGCGACCGGCGCCGAGCAGAAGGCACGTGCTTTAGGCTGAGCTTGCAAAACTGAGCGAAATCAGAGCCGGGAGGTTATTGACCTTTGGCAATGAATACCGACGCCGGGCACCGCTCGCCAAGGGGATTCACCAATAAATAAAATTAATTTGTTTGTGCAATATCTCAGCCGTTTCTCGGCCGATTCGGTGGTAGTGTAGGGTAGGGAAGGGAAGGGAAGGGAAGGGAAGGGAAGGGAAGGGTAGGGTAGGGTAGGGTAGGGTAGGGTAGGGTAGGGTAGGGTAGGTAGGATAGGGTAGGGTAGGGTAGGGTAGGGTAGGGTAGGGTAGGGTAGGGTAGGAGTAGGAGTAGGAGTAGGAGTAGGAGTAGACGTAGGGGTAGGGTAGGGTAGGAGTAGGGTAGGGGTAGGGTAGGGGTAGGGGGTAGGTTTGATTTCAAAAAGGGCCTTACATGCAAAAGACTTGAACACCCCGCAACTATCACTATTAGTATTATACCTTACAGTTTAATTAAAAACAGCTTCATGAGAAGTATGCGCATCTGGCTGACCTTATCCTCACTTCTGTATGGAAATATGAAATTGCCAAAATAAATTACTGTATTAAAAATCGAGATATTTCGAGCACAGCTCTTCGTCGGTCGATTGTAATTATTTACACACATAACAGGCACACAATGTCGAATTCGTCTCAAGTTCTTCAGTAATGTCGCAGTAAGAAATTTAAATACACAGATCCCGTGCAAATTGATCACCCTAGTTCCTACCTTAAAAATATATCTAAACATTGGATATCCATCCATTGGATATCCAATGGATATCCATTATATCCATTATCCATTATATCCATATATCCATATATCCATTGGATATATTATCCATTATATCCATATATCCATTGGATATCCATTACTGTTTGTCAGTAATGGATATCCGATGAAGATGATCAAGGAGTACAGTTGGAGGGAAATGAAGAAACATGAAGAGAGAAGCAGAGACAGAGGAAGAGAACGACGGGAACGGCCAGATCAGCGACAACAGAACAAGAAGAAGCAAGGCACATATATCCGACTGCCCTTCGTTAATGACAAGGTGGCTGCTCAGGTGAAGAAGGTTGCAATCAACTCTGGATTACCAGTGGAGATAGAATGGACCACCAACAACACCCTGAAGAAACGACTGGTCAAGACACGACTGAACCCAGCCCCCTGCCCCTCGGGACGAAGGTGCTGTCATTCATGCCAGGCGGGGCTACAGTCCAAGTGCACGACCAAAAACGTGGTATATGAACTTACCTGCAGTCACTGCGGCGACACCTACATCGGAGAAACGAGCAGGCCAGTTAGACTCCGCTACAACGAGCATCGGAGGAACGGCATTAACAGAGAAGAGGACACTCCCCTAGGAGAGCATGCGCTGCATAAGCACCCTGAGATGGATCGACGCGACATCTCGGTGACGGCCAAAATCCTGCGTGTATGCAAAGACGAAGCGGATAGAAGAATCGCTGAATCCATCTTCATCCGAGACGCCAGGCCCAAAATTAACGATAACACTACATCATGGCAGCTTCTTCCAAAATAATGTATATAAATGTGTGTGAATTGGTTCTTGAAAGATACCTATATATGTACTGCTAGTTTAACTGGGGAATTATGTTTAGATATATTTTTAAGGTAGGAACTAGGGTGATCAATTTGCACGGGATCTGTGTATTTAAATTTCTTACTGCGACATTACTGAAGAACTTGAGACGAATTCGACATTGTGTGCCTGTTATGTGTGTAAATAATTACAATCGACCGACGAAGAGCTGTGCTCGAAATATCTCGATTTTTAATACAGTAATTTATTTTGGCAATTTCATATTTCCATACAGAAGTGAGGATAAGGTCAGCCAGATGCGCATACTTCTCATGATGATATTCCTCAGAACGCTTAACCACTTAAAAACAGCTTCCCAAATCTACCCAAATAACACAGCTAAAAATACAAGTCACTCACCCAAACTAATGCACCCGTAGCAAAACATAAATCAAAACATACAGTTATCGCGTCAACCTGTACCTCTAGTGAATAATAATTTTCAGAATAAGTTTTTAACACCGATAATGTAGGGGAGAGTGGGGCACATTCGTGCAAAAAAGGATAAATCCATGTATCTGTTCTTTGGTTGGTGCAATGGCAAAACTGTTAATTGCAGTATGGAAAGGAACTATTGCAGATATTTTTCCTCTTTAAAAGTTATCCTCTAAAATTATCGCTTCTATTAGAAACAAAAATACTTTTTGATAACTCTGAACGTTTGCACGAACCTGTCCCAGGTATGGGGCACATTCGTGCAAGGGGTGGGGCACTTTCGTGCACCCTGCAAAATTCGAGGAATTACCGGGCATTACCAAAAATTTACCAAAAGAAATTGGCAAGGGGTCATTTCACTTCATTCCTTTCGACAAGAATGCATTGCACAACATATGTAGAAGGAATGGGCTGGCAAACAAGAATGTGCCAACTGCCAGTGCCGACCATCGGCCCGCCCCCGTGACCTCGGCAAGGTCACGTGAATTACTTGTCACGAAGTCGCAAGCAGCCGAGACTGAGTCAGGCGAGCGTCAGAAGTGAAACCTACTCAGATAAAGTCATAAATCGCAAACCGAAAAAAATATGCACGAATATGCCCTTAGGCCGTGCGTGCACGAACCTGCCCCACTACGTTATTTGTAATATATTTAAAAAAAAAATTGTTGAAAAAATGACACTTTTTCAACAAACAAGTTTGCAGCAGTTCCATGAATAGAGTTCAAGTTTCTTCGCCGCCAAATTTGAAAACCTGAACCACATTTCCGAGTCAGAATCACGAAAATGGATGTTATGAGAAAAGTTTGGAAAGCGCACGAATATTGCAACTTTGCGTTTTTATCAAACATGACAGCAGGTACAGTGTTGTTATCTATAGTACACGAGGGGCGGCAAGGATAGGTACACATATTTTCATAATTTGCCTTGAGCTCGTGCAGTCACTCGTTTTCCCATGAACTGCTGAAAACGAAATGCCCCATGCACGAAAGTGTCCCACTCTCCCCTTCTGCTATGTTAAACGTAATACATAGAGGATTCTTCATGGCTCCGAGTGGAAGATAAGGATATCTTTTCCAAGCGGGTTACTGAAAAACCGAGCGACGAAGGAGCGAGGTTTTTCTGTTACACGCGAGGAAAAGATCTCCGATCTTCCACGAGTGAGCCATGAGGAATCCTATATCTTTCTATGTTGAGGTTTATTCTTAATTATTTAAATATCATATTCAAATGTATTTATCTATGTAAAAATAGATTTAGAGTATTTTGTATTTATTTCATAAGTTTCATACACAAACAACCCTTAAAAATGGTACGGTTATTGACCCATCATCACTTGAACTCTTGATTTTTAGCTATGAACCCTCGAGACCTTATCTTCGCATCTCAGAGGGATGCAGAGATAACAAATTCTTATCTTTGCATCTCAGAGGAGTGCGAGATAGAAATATCCCTGCACTGTAGACCCAATGGCAAATAAACCTCAACTAGAAAGATAATTGGTTAATAAGTTTGGTATGGTTTGGTTATAATTCATATAAGTCTTCTATCCCTGTGGGGCTGTAAATACGAGCTGCGAGTTTGGGAAATAGGAGCCAATTAGAAATAATTCTGATGAAGTTGATCGTCTGTGAAATCAATGTGTGCTCACTAGTTTTCTAAGTAATTCAGCTAGCAATTCTCGTGGTTTGTTCGAAGAGACGTTTACAGTGAGGGTCAAACCAAAGGGAGGCAGTCGCCGTAGCCGTATGCGGGCCCTACGGGCCAGGATGTCTAAAGATTTCGGCCATGTTGTGTATACCGAAGTCTTGAAAAGTTGATCGCTGCAATCAAACTGCAAGCATGAAGCAGCAGCACTTCTGAGAAGTGTACCTCTCACTAAACTGCACCTCTGCTACCGTAATGCAATTTATATTTCTGGTATACACAACATGGCGGAAATTGATAGACAAAAACAAGCCACCAATGGTCCTTCCAGTATATATTAGAGTTCAGTGGGTCAAACTTAAAATAAACGAACTATTTACCTTAAGCATTTACCTTAAGTAAGGGTCATTAGATACCCTTTCGAGTAATAAGACCCTTTACTCAAGAGGCGCCTTCTCCTCTTCTTATGAAGACAAGTTGGCTACCATGCTTGTTGTCGCCATAAAATGACGACCACTGTTGTTAGTGACAGTAGCTACTGTTTTTAATACGATGAGTAGCCACTCTTGAGCATTAGTTAGAGAAGTTGTAGTTAAACTTGTCGGGGTGGTCCTTCCATTCTTTCCCAAGTCTGAACTTAAAAACATCGACATTTGGTGCTTCAATAGTGTTCCTGGATAGCTTGTTCCACGCCTGAGTCACTCGTGCCTCGAAGAAGGCTTTCCTAGGTCCCAACTGATGCTGAACCTGCAGCTTTTGACCGTGACTTCGGGTGGTACGGCTAAGGGAGTTCTTGAACATGCCGTTGCTAACACACGAGCACTCTCTTTGGTAGTTCACCATGTCGAAGCCTTTTAAGATTTTGAATGTCTCGATAATATCTGATCTTTTCCTTCGGAATTCCAGGGTAGGCAAATTGAGGCTTCTGAGACGATCTGAGTATGACAGGTGAGACAGCCCCTTCACCAGTCTGGCTGTCTCGTTGCCTGCCATTGCACCTGCTCGAGTGCGTCTTTATCCTTCTTAAATTTGGGGCTCCATATAACAGCGGCATACTCAAGATGGGGTCTCACGATGCTCTTGTACAAGGCTTGAAAGACATCACTGTCAGTGTTTGCAAAGGTATGTTTGATGACTCCGAGAATTCTATTGGCCTTGTTAACCTGGTATATGACATGTTTTGAGAATAGTCACTATAGCCAGTTTTTTTTTTATTTATCTGGGCACACTGTTGCCTTGAAATGCCCAGTCCAAGTGGAAAAAGCTCATATAGGTATGATTTTTTTTATAAACATGCTCAACAAAGTTGTCATTTCAAAACCAAGCATGCAAAATCAAGTGAGCGTTGTATTGGTCTAGTAAATGGTAAAAAGTGCCTTCGTTCATCACCTAAGACTTGCTGTGGAAAAATTGTCATACTGATATGATGGATCACGTACTTATGAATAATTTTTATCTCATATCAAAATGAAATTGTTTAAACTTCAATTTACAGTGTTATATTGCATCACTGCTTAACACCACTTATACTAGTAAGAGGATTCTTGCTCACTTTATGTTTTTGCATCACTTTTTACATTGTGAATTGTGATCGAATGCAACCAATGCTGAAAGTATCTGTTGTGGTGCTGAGGATGCCGCTATGCGCGGATGAGAGTAGGTGTAATGTTTAACACCCCCCCCCCCCCCCACCGAAGACTGCTTCGGTTGTTCTAGAAAAACACAATTCTAACGAACAGTGTTTGTCTATTTCAAACAGGCTGCGGTTGCAATTATATTCTTGCTACAACCAGTATAACGCCTTTTGGGGCGACTAACGGAGCGAGCGAGAGGGTGGGCCTTGCACGTGCGAAAGTTCGAGGGGGTACCTCGAACTGACTTGTGCACGGCAGTCGGCACCCTACTAACCGGTCTCTAGCGATGTGCCAAATTTGAACACAATCGGCCCAGCCGTTCTCGAGATCTGGGAGCGGCACCCTGCACGTGCGCTAGTGCAGAAAGGGTCCCAACTGACTTGTGCACGGCACCCTACTAACTGGTCCCTAACCGTGTACCAAATTTGAGCGCCATCGGTCCAGCCGTTCTCGAGATCTGGAAACGACCCCTGCACGTGCGCACGTGCAGCAGCACCCCAACTCTGGCACATGGATATGCAGTGCCTAGTGGGTGCCTACCTACATGCCAACTTTCAGCGCAATCGGCCAAGTAGTTACCGAGATATTGCAACAATTACAAAACTGACACCTCTTCGTTTTGCACGTGGCACGTGCATAAGGGGTCACTTACATGCATCGGGAATAGTCCAATACTTGGTAGAAGGAATGAAGCTACCCTTCAAAAATTACCGCGTGTAAATCGGTCAAGTGGTTGCTGAGATATAAGCCTCGCAAAAGCGTCCGCACGGCCGGCCGGCCGGCCGCTCATACTCAGAAATTTCCGTTAAACTAAGGAAAGACTACGCTCGCTTCGCTCGCTCCGTAATTATATCCGCGCACCGACGGGGGGGGGGGTTATCCGCCCCCCCCCCCCTGAGGTTTTTCGTGAATAAGCGGAAAAACCGCGGTGCGTAGCGCCGCGAAATTCGGCATGACTGTTCTCTCATCAATTTTACATATGGTGTGCAAGTTTGAACCTCAGGTCACCAGGTCACTTCGAATGACCCAACCTCAAGTCACTTTTTTGCAACTTTGCCACAGTGTCAGAGCTACAGTAGATGACGGAGGCCTTTGAAAGTCGCAGGATGTTATTAGGTCATTGGTAGCTACAATTTGTAGGTACATCTCAGAATTTCGATATCGATGACCTAAGGTCAGGTCAATTTCTCGACCTCCCCATTATAAGTCAATGGGGGAAAAATCAACTCCCTGTTTTTTTTTTTCACTAAAACGCGTCGGAATGGCCCCATATACCATACATGACTTCATATACAATCAACCTTCACTACTTTGAGGCCTGGTTTGCTGTTGGCCAGCTGTAAGGTCATGTGACGTCATCAAGGGTCACCAACGGTTTTTTGCCAATTACTCCTTACAGGAACGAGGTACAGCCGCGCAGATGGTCTCATTGTGTTCAGCTCGTCAAGAAGCATCTAATGATATACATGATGACCTCGAGGTCATGGACCTGAGGTCAACCTTTGACCTTGACCTTTTGAGGTCAACATATACATGATTCGATGCGGATTGACAAGAGGATCACGATGATGCCCTTGGTTTGTTCCTAGCTTGACTAATTCGAACGTTATTCGAGAAAAACTCTCCATATACAGCGCCGTCTTTTGACTTTTTTACCCCTGTGACGTCATCTTTAACCTGACCTGAAAATGACCTTAGTAAAAATTGTAGACCTTGTCCGTGCGTACCCCATGCCGTTTACCACTTGTCGCTATCTTGCTTCGTTCTCGAGATCTCAGGGGGGGGGGGGTGGGCGGTCATCCGCCCCCCCCCCCGTCGGTTGTAAGTTGGCGCAGACCCCCGTCGGTGCGCGGGTTAAAATGGCACATGCTTGTATTCGCAAAAATATGACAAAACAGACAGCAAGTGCCACATGGCATGTAAACCCTTTGGTCAGTCGCGGCAGCTCCTAAAAGCAGATACTCAATGTGAGTGGCCTTCCGGCGGATCAGCTCCAGCACTAGCACAGTCTGCAAGTGACTGATGGTCATGTTGACTATCTCGGAGGGCAGGCAGACAACTTTCCAACGACGCATTACAGTGCCCAGGGCACTGACAGTGCCCATGAGCTTTGCCAAATCTTGCACTGTAAGCACATAAAGTTGGAAAAATCGGCACGTCCGTTAATGAATGCGACTTAATTTCCGTAGTATCTTTTTCTGGACACCCTGTATCACCTGGTTCGAGAATGAAAAAAAAATGGCCAGCTGTGAATGGAATCAGCATTAAATATTCGCATGTGGCATGCTTTTCCATCCCCAGCAAATCAGTCTTGTAGTGACCTTCTACCGACCATTTTAGATCAGATTACGATGACAGAAGCAATAGATAGTTTTATCTTCAATGGACAGCTTGCCCTGCAGTACCAGGTCGGCTCACTCCTGCGATATTGGCAGGAGTGATCGGCAGGAGTGATATTATATCGGCAATGCAGAATGGGTATGCATTGATGCAATATCGTCATCAGTAATCAGATCATTGATGCCTCTCTTCGTTATTTCATTTTCATTGGCCTAGTTTGTCCGATTGTCATAAGGGCATTCCGGAAGTCATCCCATTGAATGAGCTCTTACAAAAAATTGCAATATGGAGATAGATAAATGGTGAGCATCAGCGAAAATAATAGAAAGCAAGTCTCTGTCTCGTATATGTCCTGTCCGTGGTCTCTGCCGATCCCGTGTCTGTCTGCCTGTCCCGCGTCTGTCTGACGGTCCCGCGTCTGTCTGGACGTGGCGGGCAGGCCGCCGCCCAGTCTGGCCGAGGTCGAGGCGCTGCTGCGAGACGCCGACAAGGTACCGGCCGCGCTGCCCACCGTGCAGGCGCTGCGAGACGCCGCCACAAAGGCCCACGACTGGATGGAGCGCGCGGCGGCCATCACCGAGCGCAGCCAGCACCCGCGCCTCGAGGTCAGTCCCGGCCGAGGCAGGCCACACGCGGGCCGCGCCCATACGCCGCGCCAGGGCCGTCCCGCGGCCGCCACGCGCAGCACTGGGGGTACTTGTGGGGCGGTCTGTAGTTTAATTGTTTTCCATTCACATACATTTTGAGCAATAGCCCGTGATCGAGTGGCTCCCTAGTGGGGGGGGGGGGGGGGGGCATATGTTACCACCCACCTCTAACTAAAAAACTAAGAGGGCTAGAAAGACGCGGTAAAAAGCAGTCGATAGCTCTCAATGCGTACGTTTGAAGGTATTTAAGTCGTTTTTCACCTCAGAGCAATATTGGGGTCACCAGAGGTCATCAAAGGTCAAAAATTGCCAATGGTCATTATATTTTCAGAAAACATGCCGTTATCTCAAGAACTATGGTAGCTAGAAAAACGCATGTAACAGCAATCGATAGCTTTTGAGCTCTTCTTTTGATAAGGTCATTATCAAAATTGACCTCAGGTCAACGGTTTAGCCTCCAGAGGGCAAAAACTCCAAAAATAGCTGTTTTTACGAAAAGTGTTTTTCGACAATAACTTTCGACTACAAAAAGCCACGACATTTCTATTGCAAGAATCGTGTCCCTCTCGCCGAGACGCGTCGAATGAACTATAATTTGGCCTTGAAAGGTCAACTTGAAAATTTGACCTCAGGTCAAGGTCATGACCTGACCGGAAAAGGTCATGTTGCATATCAGTCGATGCGTCTCAACAAGACAAACACAATGAGGCCATCCCCAGCGTTCTATCTCTTTCCAATCGCGAGTTATTGGCAAAAATCTGTTTGTAGCCTCAAATGACCTCGGATGACCTTTCTAGAGGCTATCAGCAAAAATGACACCTAGGTCATCACGGGTGGTCCAAATCACTGTGATTCTGAAATATTTGGACTGTTCCTATGCGTTCACACGGATCTAGAGGCATTTTCATTTTTCTCCAATCTCCATTGACTTGTAATGGAAAGGTCACGCCTTTGACCTGACCTTAGGTCACGGATATAAAAAATCCGAGAGATACAAATTGTAGGCACCCATAACAGCATGCAATCCACCAAGTTTAAAACCTTTCTGACAAACATTGCAGGCTGGACATGATTGCAAACTTTTTTAGGCTTGGTCAGTTAACTTGACCTGGTGCCCTGACCTGACATGACCTGGAGTCAAAAATTTCACACATTGTCCAAAATTGATGTACCAAAAGCTACCCAAAGCGGCGCGGCACGCGCCGCGGTTTTTTATTTACACGCAAAAAACGCGACAGGGTGGTAACATATGCCCCCCCCCCCCCACTGGGGCGAAGGTTCACTCTTCAAAACTAGCCAGGGATGATATCGTATAATTTATGTGGGATGCATACCAAGTTTAGGTCTCAAATGAAACGTTGGATATCACACGCTCTGGGATGGGAGGAAAATTATCTGGTCCAGCTCGGAGCATGCTCACCTATGACGTCATGAAAGGCCTGCAACGTGAATGTAATCGATCGCAAGGATTAAAGTATAGGTAGTTTGTTTTTAATCAATAGGAATCTGGCTCCAAGTATGTTTTCCAAATAAGCACGTGTTTAGCCAGCGAAACGGGTAAAAACTGAACGAAAGAAAATCGGACGTTGACTAATTTTAACGAGTAGGTACCGTAAACGGGGGTGACTTTGCCATGCTGGGTGACTGCCATGATTCTCAAAAAATGTTTTAGGGTGATCTCCAGTGATAATTTACGAATAATGTTATAAGTTTGTATGCACAAATGAAAGATAATTGATGGGCCTTCCAACATAACCAACACTGAGAGATAAGTTACCACTAAATACCGAACAGGGGCCGTATTCACGTCGACTTCGTAAGTCGATTTTCTTTCGTAAGTATAATTTGGTATTCACGTCGACACTTCTTAAGTTTTTATTGATGGAGTTCACGTGATTAAAAAAAATTACTTAAGAAGTAGGTCAAACTTAAGAAAATTCTTACGAAAAAGATCGACGTGAATACGGCCCCTGGGCTCCATTTTATTGGAGTCATTGAAATGGTCAAATTTGAAGAGGTCCGAACTTTTCATTATCTAAATATGTTCTAGACCAACTGCGATGCTGAAACTTGGTATGGTTGATCATGACAAGGCGGTTAAGTTAGCATATCCAACAAAACTGGCATTTGTCACTTCATTTAGCTAAAAGCTTTGGTGGCGATTCTTCCAAGTGAATTGCAGGCCACATGGGGTGACTTTGCCACCATGTTATCAATGCAAAATTGAAATACTTATCCGATGCAATTCAAAATAAGCTTTAAATGTAGCATCATTTTGATCTCCAAACTGGTTTTTTAAATGTAAAAAATTATATGTTGCAAATTAACACAGGAATGCACAGTGGGAGTATAAAAAGGCAAAGGTTACCAAAATAAAAAATGGATGAAGCTGGGCCCAACTTTTTAGCACAGCCATGATCATCTACAACTCCTGAGATTGCCAATAAGACTGGCTGAAGAAATCTGCATCATTTTATAGATCAAAATGCTGATAATAAGGGTGTCGGTAAGTTCCCGTAAGAACGTCCCCTTTCTGTTCCTCTTAATGCCGCTGGAAAAACGCGGCAAGGTCCTAGAGTACCGGTACAATAATATCTTTGCTTATTTATCTATTCTGAACCATTTACAGTTTCTATTTACAATCAAATCTCAGTTATTTTCAACAAATATAATGTATTATTACAAAAATTAAGGAATCTCTCCTTTTTTGTACATCGTTTAACCCTCGCACGACCAGGCCATTTCTCATAACACGAACGACCAGGGGGGGGGGGGGTTGTTACGACCCCCCCCCTGGCGTTTCGAAACGGAAGGTCGTAGAGCTTAGCGGAAAAAACCAACGGATTGCTCTCAACGAGATCTCGCGATTGGTGGTATATTTTTGGTCCTAGGTCAACATTTGACCTACTTTTGACCGGTCAAAGGTCAAATTTTCGGAAAAATAGACTTTTTTCAACTTTCCGCGGCGATTGCGGCAAAACGGTGGGAGATATCGACTTGAAACCTTCACTATCGTGTTCCTTGATCAATTCTCTATCGTTTGGTATGTATTTCGTTTCCCTAGCTCTAAAAATGGCGCGTTGGGAGCGCCGGAAGTCGGCAAGGTCACAGTCGGCGGCAGAAATTCGAAAAATCAAAATTTAAATTTTTGAAATCTGATTGTATTTTTGGATTTGGGAGGTCCATTTGCTCCCTATAGAAGCTAATATTGCTGCATATTCCCATTGAGGTGACAAGAATTAGCAAAATAGTGGTTCGGGCGCTTTTCAAAAATAGTACCGGACGCTGTTCCTCTTGTGACGTCATAGCTCCGTGACCTGACCTGACCCGGTCAAATTTCTTATACCATATGATAGCCAATACTTGCCCCAACATGCATGGGAAGTTTCATCACGATCCATCAACCGATGTCCGTACCACCGGCAGGAAACCTCGGGCGTTGGCACTCAGTTTGTGAAAATCCGGCCGGAGGCTGTACCTCTTATGACGTCATAACTCCGTGACCTGACATGACCCGATCAATTTTTTTTCGGCAAAAGATGCGCAAAGGTTGCCCCAGAGGGTATTGAAAATTTCAGCCCGCTACGACAAGCCGTTTAGCGTGCACTTTGAAAAAACCTCAGGAGGGGGGGGGGTTGATACAACCCCCCCCCCTAGGCGTTCTAGGGTTAAGAGCAAAAAAATGTCGAATTGCTTTATTTTTTTTCTATCAGGGGCGGAGCTTCCTATACAGTTGGTGGGGCGGCTGCCCCACCAACTTGGTATCTTGCCCCACCAATAAGCGTTTTGCCCCACCAACTTTAGCTGATTTCTAAGACTTTGTTGCTTTGCAAATTAATCTTTCTCGCATTGAAATTTGAAAAGCTTTGGAATGTCTGTTTAATGCAAAATAATATGTCTGTAATGATAGGAATTGATTCAGTATGGCATTTTATTCAACTTTATAATCGGACATTGTGGGTTTGACGACTTTTTGCCCCACCATCTTACCTGGAAAAGCTCCACCCATGTTTTCTATTAAACAATTAAGGATGGTTGCCCTTCCCCATTCAATGGAACAAAAATGCTTGAAAAGTATTTGTTAGCGTTAAAAAAACATTATTTGGCATAGTGGCAAAGTCACCCCTTTTTCAGTTTAACTTTGCCACGACTCATTTTCCTTAAAAATTTATATTTTTAGGCAAGCTATAAATACGATAATAGCAAAACCCAAAGAGCTAATCTTCATCCGTGTTTTGAACATAGAGTCATTCCAATAAGTTAACAAGCTTAAAGGTAGTGTGCCACCTTTGAAAGATTTCCCATTTTATTTTTCCTAGGATAAGAAGCTTCTGTTTTTACCTAATATCGCAAAAAAATTAAAAATGGGCCTGGAATAGTGCCTTTTTCGCCTAAAAGTTTTTCGGTTTTTAGATATGCATAACAACTGTAGTGGGCTCACCTGCAAACAGGCGTCGGGCAACAATCGCGAATGCGGCGCACTTGTGACAATAAGCAAAGGTCATTATAGTTTTACGACCATACGACGTACGGGAATGAGTTATCAGCTGTCTAATCGTAGACAACACAATGTCGAGCCTTAAACTGTAAGCCCGTATTGGTATTGTTTCTTTTATTTGGCTGTCGAACATTATTTATGGTTTGAAATATGATTTTATGTAAAATAATTGATATGAAAAAGCCGTCTTATAAGTTATGACCCCATTTCACCACACGCAAGTGGCAGAAATGACAATGATCAGCTGACGCATTTTTCTTGGCCGAAGTCAGAGCGCGCGGCCCGACGCACCACGCGTATTTGGAAATTCCGACCTCGACGAGCATCAGAAGCAACCTAACAGGCGTGTTCGAAACCGCAGGAGATGATGATGAACGGGTTTATCGAAACTTGATTGGATGAGCATATCGGTAATAGCGATTTCAGTGTGTGCATTTATTGTTCATAGTGGTGTGAAATG